CCAGTGACAATTATTCATATAACTAAAATATAGGGAGAAGTCGGGTTGTTAGTTCATCATGGGCCAATCAGCATGGTTTCAATTGTCGTGTTGAGTGCTTGGCATGGTATGTCCAACTATTTACGATACGTTTGTATGCAAACAAGGACGCTCTGTATATAGGGAGATGCGAATATTGTTGGTCAGTGGTCTGGTCCAGCATTGTGGTGCACCGGTGGAGAAACCTCGCCATACAGAAATTTGAACCCCTGTTCACCTCGGATGAAAAGGTGAACAGAGATACAAGGTAATTTGTTTATTGAAGCAAGTTAAAGAGACATTAAGTTCGCAGATCGAAGAGCAGCAATAAACGATTCAGGTCGGAGCCTTCTGAGACGATCCAAGCAAGAAAAACCGGTCAATCCTCTAAGATTTCAAATCAATATGATAGGTAACAATGTGATCCATAATAGCGTGAAAGAATGCAGATTATCCTAAGCGAGATGGCAATCATCGCCGGGTGAACGTTATAGGAAGTTTTTGCGGAGTCAAGGTCAAGGAATCATTGACCTTAAAGACACGTTCATAACGTTGTTTAAACGTCTCTCCGGCGAACTGTGGTTCTTCTTTGATTGAGATACGGTAATTGCGTACGAGCATGCTCAACACAACCAATGACTCAACTTCAGCGAACCTGAAGAAAAAATCGGATCAATTAGTCCTTTGCGTATTTATTTACATGATCCACATACCTTCTCCCAATGCATGCTCTTCCGCCAAGAGAAAAGGGCGCGAACGCCTTCTTTGGCCAATTGCCAAGGAACCTCTCTGGAGTAAACTCGTCTGGATTGGGCCAGTATTTCGCTACAAGTGATATCAATATTATTCCTACACATGTCAAGGAAACTCACGGTTGCGATGGAGGGCCGGGGTAATAACATTTACAAATGCGCCCTTCGGTACTGGAACAACAACAGCTTCTCCCTTGTTATTTGTTGTTTTCAAAGTCGTATTCTCTGCACTTCTTTTTGGTATTAGGGTGACCTATTAGACTTGTAAACGGCTTCGAACGAGCACGTAGTTTGAGAAGGAACCTACGGGTGGGAAAAGCCTAAGAGTCTCATAAAACACAGCCATAACATAGGACATGGATGATAGTTCGGAATAGGACTTGGCATGGCTTTAGTCGTGGCATTTTCAAGCAGTATTCAATGACTTACTGGAA